TCGTTAATAACTCTGTAAATAATGGTCTGAGCCAAAATTGAAAGAGGAACTTTTAGTTCAAAATTTCATTCTCTTTCACGCCTTGAAATATTAATTAAGCGTTACGGAACACCCTGTATATATACACATAAAAAAATATATTACCAAAATTTTAATTTCAATTAACAAAAATAAATCGAAATTATAATTTCGATTGTTGAAACGGCTGACTGTAGCGAAATAAAACGGCGACGGGTCGATACTTGGCACGCGCGCCTGGCCCGCGCGCCGGGCCCGCGCGCCCGCCACGTGACGAGAGTAGTGCGCGGCGCCACCGCTAGGTGCCGCAGGCGCCACTACTTTCTCGTAATTAAAAAAAGACCACGCCTGCTATATCTATGGCTTCGTACTGGGTGGTCGGAAAACAAAATTTAGGATGCATCGGTGATATAGTGAAAGCAGTGGTACTACATAGTACCATGGTAGAAAGACATTCTACCATGCATAGTACCACTGCCTTGGCAGTGGTACTATGCAGTATTTACTGCTTCTACTGTCTCACCGATGCGTCCTAAATTTTTTTTTTCGCAGGGCTGAGGGCATTAGTAGATGATATATTAATGAATCTCGACAGTGAATATAGTAAAATAACTAACTCATTCATTAATTCTTTAAAATTTAATCCGGCAAATTCTTTTTTCAATCGCTCAAAGAAATTGAACATTCTTTCCTTAAGTAAAATTGGCCTGAAAACTCCCGAACTGGGAATCATGTCTAGATTAATAACGGGTTATCTTTGGACTAACGCTAGAAAATTTCGATGCAAAATGATTGACGATCCTAAACGTAGATGCAACGCTCAAATACAAGATACTGAACACATTTTCTGGGAGTGTCCTTTATTGAACACCCCCAGACTTTTGTTAATTTCCAAATTATGCTCATTGAATCTACAGGGGCCATATAATATGGAATATTTTATTGAGAATGTCAATCCTAAATTAGCGTATGGAACGTTAGAATTCATTAAAAAAACACATGAGATATTAGAAATCAACCTTTAATGTTGAGCTCAGATTTGGGAGACTCCCCCTTTTCTTTAGACCCAGACAACTCAGCCGACTGTCAGGACTGAACAGAATAGGACCAACCTGGAAGTCAAGCCCTATGATCTCCGGGTTCCGTGACGCAAAAATGGTACTAAGATCCATTCGGATCTGACAACCAAGGGCCACAAGAAGAAGAAGAAGATGATATCTCCTCATTGCAAATTAATCAAGATGCAAATAAAATAAAAAAGTCATTGACCCCTAATGTTGAAACGGCTGACTGTAGCGAAATAAAACGGCGACAAGTCGATATATTTAACGTGTGGCGGTGCGCTTACGGCACACGCGCCTGGCCCGTTACATATGTAAAGTACGGGGTAATCAATTCACGTTGGCTCCTTATGATCTAGGTTCGGTATCCTATGTGTTCGAAGATGCCCGCAAAAATAACGTCATCACGAAATGTTTTTTTATATTATTTATAGGATGGACGTAGAATATACGGTATATGTGGACAATTCGCTAGTAGAGTTAAATTAGGTATGAGCTACTAATCTCTATATAGTTGTTTAATTATTAAAACGTTTTGTAATTCTTGTTAATATTGACTTTTGTACAAATTATACATCATTAGTAACATTTTACAAATCAATATTATACATATTCACATTATTTGAAATTAAGGTATATTTTATTGTTTAATAACGTAAATCATGATATTCTTTAAGCGGACTATTAAAGACATTTTTTGTCAATACGGTAATTTACGTATACCGTACGGTAAAATTACCGTATTGACAAAAAATGTCTCTAATAGCCCGCTTAAAGAATATCATGATTCATGTTATTAAACAATAAAATATACCTTAATTTCAAATAATGTAAATATGTATAATATTGATTTGTAAAATGTAACTAATGATGTATAATTTGTGCAAAAGTCAATATTAACAAGAATTACAAAACGTTTTAATAATTAAACAACTATATAGAGATTATATACATATATATTTATGTTTAATAAGTTCTTCCACATTATATTTTGTTACTGAAAATAAGGAAAGAAACTCGACAAACAAAATTTAATAATATTAAAATTTTAAAAATGTCTATTTCATTTAATATAATAATAGACTAGATTGGGTTTATTTCAAAGTTTTAATTATCTAAATTTGCAAAAATATGCGTACAAATATACTTGCTATATCGTTTGAGTTTATCAAAAAACGACGTGTAAAAAAATTTCCCAAAATTCCCTTATGTTAAAGTTAATTAAAGCAAATTTTATGGAAGATTTGCGTGTTAAACGAAGTGTATAACAAAAATCTAGTAAACCATCTATAAAACATATAAACAACGTGTGATTATTGATGGGTGTTATTTATACTGGCACTCCGTACTTCAATGAAAATGGTAATTATATCATAAATTGGATTTTGAAGGGGATGAATAAACGAGACTGCAAAATGCAACGTACACATCAACATCAACCATCATTTTCATTTAATAGTCTCAAGAGATCGGCACATGATAGGAATAAGAATGATCTTTAATCTTTAATAATCAAACTAATTCGGATTTTTTAAAACAAAGTAGCCACTCCTTGCAATTTTTCATCAATCTATCATTAGCACGATCTCGCGATACCTGTTTGCCTTCGAAGGAGACAGATAGTCTTCTGCTTCTTCGGAATATTTCATAAATCAAATTAGCAAATGACGAGTCAGATTAAAAACATGCTGAGATTTTTATAAAAGATTGATTTTGGACAGCGATAATCTTCGGTAAAAAGAAAATATCGATATACATATAAAGCAAAAATCAATTAAATTAGAATCGCCGAAAAATGATACTGAGTTTTAGAAAAAAAGATATTTCAAATTTCACATTCGCAAATATCGCGAATTCCGAAGCTTTCGAGTAAATTTCTTTAAAATATAGAGATCCTTACTCACTTTCAATTTTACTCACTTTCTCGTTATACATTTGTAACAAGAAACCTTGTCTTTTTTTCTCATCTGCTTCGATTCTAAATATAATATCAAATATTCTAGTGCCTAACTACTCCTGCGCACGGATGATTGCGGCAAAAAAAGTATGCGGTAAGGAATTTAATTTAACGCGAGACATTTGACATTTGACGTCAAGTCGTTGCGCGATGTCAGTTACGTTCGCCCTTTCGAACTTTCGTCGATTTTCCTATACCTGATATATATATACAGCCCTCATCTTTGCGTACAACCACCGAATCCGCAATTGTGTCCTTCGCACATCCGTCGGTAGTCGGTGAGTCTTTAATTGATCGTTAAGCACGATCAATATAACGGACGTCGCACATCGTTCCGCGGCGATAAAAACTTTTTCACAAAATTCAGGTAATCGAATGTCCTAATTAAAGGTAATTGCCGAAACTAAAACATTTTTTTTTACGAACTCTAATCATTACCGTATTTATCGTCGCGTGACATCTGAAAAATGTTCTTTTATCTCAGAATCTTCGCAAATATCGATTATAATTATCCCCCCATTAAAAATGCGTCGGCTATTAGAAGAGACTTTAAAAGCACGCGGGAATGCTAGAAGTAAGTTCAATCTCGTGTTTGAGCACTGTCGCTAAAAACCTAAAATATTCGTCGAAGGCAGGGTTGGATTAAGTATTTTATAGATCTCTCAGATACTAAATTATAAACGTTAATTATATTTATATTAAAGTTTTACACATCTAATCTGGCAAAAATAATGATATTACTGTAAAGTTTCTGAAATTCTGAAAAAATGTTACTTTTTTCGACAAAATTGTAATTTTGTTGTATTATTCTAATATTTTACCGATAATAATTAACATTTAGCATTATATTTGCTTTGTTTCAGGAATCAAAAGCCGAATAATTTTATTCATGTTCGGAAAGTATTCATTTTTCAGTACAATTGCGCTGCAAACGTTAATCTGTATAGTATATACTATATTTCAGTTTAAAGTCTAGAGCTTCATTATTTGCCACGTGCAGCCATCCCTGTACCTTGACGGGAAGGAACGACAGTGCGCGTCGCGTGCTTCTAATAACCTTCCATAAATTCGAATTATCTGAATTCTCTCGGATCCTTCCACAACGAGCTGCCTCTGACCGCCTACTATCTTACTACCGGCGTTCTCATCCGGCGTCCTTGCCGTCCCTTGCGGCAATCGCGGTGGAAAGCGCATAAAAGCCGCAAGCGGCTCACAGCGGGTAGCCTGCGCACCTGCGAATCAGCCGAAAGCGATTGCGTAGACCGGAACGTGGCCGCGCACCAGTGAGAACCGAGATCTCGCCTTGTCTACACAGTCTACATCTCAGCGAGAAACTTCGCGGAGAAAAAAAAGCCTCGATGTATCGAAAGCACGGGCGATTGTCGATTCACCAAGTCGAAAGATAGCAGAATTGGCAGCGAATTCATTTACATCGATTATCACTGTGTGAGTATCATCATAAATGTTAACAAATGGAATTGCGATTCGTAAAGAGAATAAAAAGAAATAATAAATAAAAAGAAATAGTGATATTAATCGTAAAACACGATTTTTACAGATATTAGATCTTATACCTTTACATTAGCGTTTAGATATACAACGGATTGTGATCTTGAGTCTATTTATTATGATTTATAACGATTGATTTTTATAAATTCATAAATAATGTAATATAATATTCATTTTTTGCAGATAACTTTTTGTATATTACCTTTGAGGATTGAGATTATCGACAAAATGTATATCACCTGCAGAGGTAAGATTCCCTCTGTATACTACCTTCTACCTTGCTTGTACTAAGAGTCAAAACGGTAGACACGATACACGTGGCGTCGTTCACGATCTATATACACATTTCAAAATATCCTTGACATTGGAGAATACTTGGTATATCCACACGACACACAGTGCATGCTTGCATATTAATAGATACATGACATGTCTTTGACATTAATTTGTTATTAATATCGACAAATTATTCTATGATTCTTGATTCTTTCATTTCAATAGGTAAATAAAAACGAATCCATTGATATTGATTACTATCTTCGTTACAGATATTTGTATCTTCAACGACAAAATAATTACATTTATTTACTTTGCATTATTAAAAAGTATGATTATATTTATTGCATTTCTTCGATAAAAGGAAAGTTTTTTTTAGTTATTAATTTTATCGATATTTGCATATTTTTTTTATTTCACGTTCTGCAATAAGAAAAAAAATGCGACATTAGATATTTCCATTATTTTTTTTGTAATAACAATTTTATCTATCTATGAAAAAGTTGATGCCATTTTATAACAATTGATAAATGTAATTAGCTTACTGATACGTTTGCTAACCCGAATATTTAATTAATTTAAATTTTCTTTTTCTTAGATTTCATGTCGTAATGCACTTCTGGAATAATGCAATATCGACGTAGCTAAACTGAAGGTTCGCTATATCTCTTAAATATCAAAAAAGAGTATGATGCTCCGGCATGGCAGTAAAATGCATGGAAGGGCCTTTTGTGTTCAGACTAAATGACAACGGTACCGGACCGCATCTGCTTGTACAGGTATATAATTGATTCAAATAAAATTGCACTTCCTCACAATCTCGGAAACAAAACGATCGTCGATGAGGTCCTCGATAGAGCACGATCGAAATCGTAGACTAATGATAATCCGATTGTAAATCTGCACGTCATTCATTGACGTACGAACGCCGAAACGGTCGCGCGCGTTGCCGCGCCGCGATGCATCGCGAATAATCGATACGATTCGACGCGAAAGGTCGTCGGCTCCGCGACGAAAAACGTAACGTTATACACCGCGGTGGCCGTGTCGGCGGATAGGTCCCCCTCTAGTTCCTGCTTTTATGTCGCTTAGAATTTGTTCGCGGCACGGTTACAAACTTAGACTTGTTAGCGCCCTTGAACCAAATACTTTTTCAAGGTACGCGATACGTACATGCACACCTGCAGCAACGCGCCTCTGCGTGCACTTGCCGCTTTTAGACGTGATGATTAGGTAAGTGCGACATGCAATGGCAAAAAACAAAAGTAGAAAACGGAGGACTGAAAGTTGGACTTTGCGAAAATTTCCGGCGCGAGATTTGTGATCCCCGAGTTATTTCACTCTACAACTATTGGTGCACTGATATACCTACTTCTTATTATAAAAAGTGATTAATGAGCTCAAAATATCGTACAATTGAATTTTAATGATAGATTCTTTCTCTATATACCTTTTTTAAATAACAATTCGAAAACTATATTACACAAACACTGTCGTAAATTTTAAACAATTAAGTTCGTAATTATTGAGAAGATAAAGTTGAATTTACATATATGAATAATAAAATATTGCAATTTAACGCAATTGAATATTTATTTGCTTATAATGTGTGAAACTTATTTTATTTCCTTAGTATTTTAATTTTAAAAAAATTCTAAATCTCTTTGTCTAAAATTTATATCAAAGTTCGAAATACATAAAATGTGTAAATATTAAATTATTATTTAAAGAAATCATAAATTTTAGAAAAGGTATCCTTTTTTAGATGATAATAATATTTTTTTTAAACATATGATAGAGGAAGATTGTAAATAAATCGATATAAAGCAGCGCAAAAAATCAATATGTTTTGAAGTTAATAAGTCAACAGTAATACAAATTCTATGTCAGTCAAAATAATTTTTCGCAAAGTGGATTTGCTAGTGCATAATTAACTCTCGCGTTTATTTTGCTTTCGTGTAACTTATTAAAACTTGTTCGGAAATTCGCACATGGTTGTTGCCGTTTTAATAAAATCTAATTCATTCAATGAAAATCGTTTTCATTCAATTTTATACGTCCATCTTCATTAATTAAATTACCCGTTTGCCTCTGATCGTTAACTGCAGCAGTCGGGCAAAATAGAGCAGAAAAAATTGGGTTATTCGTGAAAGAAAGACTTGAAAAGTGGAAGCTTGCCAATAGTAACGGCAGACGTGTAATTCGCGAGTTATTCGGTGCTTTGCATAAACGTATCTAAAATAAGCTACTCCGAAAGTAGCTCAATCGTGTTTCATACCAATGTGCGATTAATCAAAATTAAATAATGACATATCCTGTCGAATACCATAGAATTTCGCAACACTTTGCATGATGTAGAAAAATCTGCATAAGTACCACGTTTAAGAAATTATCTCCATTTCTAATTGAAAAGCAAAGAGATTAAAATTAAATTATAATAAACAAATGCATCCAAAGTTTGAAATGCAGGAACAAATGACATTCTCGAGTTCACTTCTTTTCTCAGTTATTTATACTCGCAAAACTGAAAAGATAATGTCTGAATCGCTTTCGAAAATTATGACAAGCTATAATTTTCTAAGTTGACAAGTGTATAAGCTGCTTGTCTAAAAAGAATTTAAGAGACGGTCCGAAAATAAACTCTTCAATTAAAGAGATGTGTCGTGCACGCCGATTTAATTGTAATCAGAGGCCTTGGTTCGTTCTGCTACAACGAGCAGTCATTCCTAATGTTCTAATAACACGACAATAAATCAAGGGCGGTCGTCGCTATTTTCGTGTCTCACCCTCGAAAGTTTCGTAAACTTCAGAATGCGTAGGTATCCGGAATTAAGGAATGCACTTTCGGTTGCCGAACTGAAAGTGGTTCCGGCTCATCAATTTGACCAATTGGAGAAATCGATGCAACACGTCCGTGCGCGTAGGCGTATAGATTAAATAGATATCGATCACGGTATTTCGGTTGTAACCCCTGGTATAAGCGTATATATTTAGCAAGATACCGAAATAAGTCGAGTACTCTACACGAATTTATTTGTCAGAAGAATATTTATATCTAGAAATCGATTGTGCATCGATAAAACTACTATTTTCATCCAACATATTCTACGCGAGGGTCTTACTTTAAACTCTTTAAAGTTATGCGACTCAATTATTCGAAAACCGTCAATGAAACACGAGATTGTAAATTAACGTAGTATATATCGAATATCGATCGACGTCAGATTTTCGAAGTTGCGCTTACGTCACTTTCGCAAGTATAACGACTGCGTTTATGGTATTTCACGCTGCTGCGAATAACGCGGAACGGATTCGTGGCTTTTGTCGTTGTCGTCTGACAACGGGGAAAAATGCTTGACATTCACTCATACTTATTGACATTCGAGACGGGTTATAAATAGTACCTGGCCCTTCGGAATAAACGTCGAGGTAATATCACCCTTTCGCGGATGTTATCCTCTGCACAGGTTTGCACAGAACGGGGATGGCGGGAGTACGCCGGTGAAAATAATGTATTCAAAGATCGATGGAATTTATGGTGGCGATCCGGCGGTTTCCCCACGTCGCATTACAGGCCATTACTCCCCTGGCAGGTAATAATGCAATATCTACCTGCATTTTGAAATCTCGAATCCACTTTGAAACTCAAGCAATAAGCGAGTAAAAGAATCGTTCTTTTATATTTCTTTTCCTAAAAATTCCTAATTTTTTATTATAGTAATTAAATTTTTGTATTTCAATTCATTGTGGTCTCCAATTCTGTTTGCAAAAGAAAATCCGTTAAAGTCCAATTAACTTTAACTAATATTTGTAATAACAGCGTTCTATCTACTTTTATTGGACTAATTAATTTTAATTAATTAATTTTTTATTTATTTGAATCTATATAAAATTATTTATTTTAATTTTTTTCAATTATATATTCGCTTAATTCAAAAAAGTTGCTGGAATGATATGTCGGATTATTTTTCGAATAGTTTGTCAATCGGATACCAAAGGGAAATTCCATTTGCCGAAAGGATAAGCTTATCCGTCACTTGAAGCGCATGAAAAAAGTCCACGGTTTAATATATGACTTCAGGTATGAAACTTTTAATTGAGCTGCGTTAAAAGTTTTTCTTGCAAAATCTCATTACTCTTTCATCTATTGAATTATTAGATTAAATTTTGTCAAAAATTCTTATTTCTAAATTTAAAATATAACAATTCAGTTGAATATAGGATTATCTCTGTTTATTGACAATATATTCATTCATTGTATTAGTCCTGTAGGATATAATTTGCCTTCCGAATATACGAAACTGGCCGAAGAGTGTAACCGTTGCGAGAAAGACGACAAAATTTGGATTTGCAAGCCAGTCGGCCAAAGTCAAGGGAGAGGAATCTTTCTATTTCGCGTGAGGCTTCTCTTTTAGATACAAACCAAAATACACAAGTCGCATAAATTAGATAATACGTGTACTCTTCCAGAAATTAAGCGATCTATCGTACGATAACGCCGCGGTTGTGCAAAGGTATATCGAGAATCCGCTGCTGATCGGCGGATACAAATTCGATCTTCGCCTGTATGTATGCGTGCCGTCGTATCGCCCGTTAACGATTTACCTGTACAAGGAAGGTCTGGCTCGTTTCGCCACCGAAAAGTTTTCCTTGGAGCGATTGGACGATCCCTTTCGACATCTCACAAACTTTTCTCTGAATAAACTAGGACCGGGCTACTCGGAGAAGAAAGAACGCATCGGTGCCGGTATTTTCATATATCAACTATCTTAATTAATTAATTTTACTGCAAAAGTTAAAAAAAATAAGATACAAATATAAGATAAGAACTAATTCGTTTTTTTACGTAGGATGCAAGTGGACATTTAGGCAATTGAGAAGATATTTTGAACAATCAGGATACTTCGATTGGATTCTTTGGCAGAGAATCTCGTGTCTAGTGACTTTAACAATTCTAAGTCAAGCAGCAGGCATTCCCAAATCCTCGAACTGTTTCGAATTTTTCGGCTTCGACGTGCTGATCGACGAGAATTTAAAACCGTGGCTCTTAGAGGTAAATAGAGTGTGATTCGAAAGAATAAAATAATTAAATCGAAATTAAATAAAAAAAGTAAAATAAAAAATATAACAAATTACAGGTGAATTTAAGTCCGGCCTTGAGTAACGACTGCGAAGTCGATTCCGAAGTGAAGAAGCCTCTGTTGCATGATCTGTTTGATTTATTGGGTCTTCCAGTATGCAATACCGGGCTCTCCCTGTTCACAATCTGGTCCTCTCCCGATCGCGTCGAGGAGGATGAGAGCGAAGTGTCTTCCAAGTTCGGCCGCTCGGTGAAAAAAAGATCGAAACTCGGACGAGAAGCCGAAACCTTTCTAAATCTTTCCTCGGAGACCCGAGCTACGGTAATTGCGAGCGAACCATCTGCCTTTTACAAATCGAAATTGCAACATGCCAAAATAATATTTCGAATTACGACAGAAAAATCAAAGAAATTAATTTCAAGTCATTAAATATTATGTCACAATGAATTAATAAGCTATTATCATAAAAGATTAAATCATTTGCGTTAATTATTCGAAGAAAGAAAAATAACATATGTTACTTATATATTGTAATTTTCTTTAGCTGAGACAATCAACACCGGAAGTTTGTCTGACCTGGCCGCGTTACAATCCGCTGTTAATGGACAAATACATAGATCGATGTAAGGGAAATACGATCGAAAATCATGTCTCACCGCCGACTTGGGACAATGGCAAAGACTGGAGAACTTCCTGCGTAAGCGAAGGCGGATGGATTCGTATTTGTCCGTTCACACGGACAAAACACATAGAGAATACGGGATACACGAGACCATCAACCAGAATTATTGAAAATGAAATCAGATACATGGTCCTTTCTATACAAAAGTAATCTTGAATCTTTATCGATATCTTCTATTATTTTAATTCATATTATTCGTATTTCATTATCTCAAAGTTATCGCCCACGCCGTGATATTTATAAATTTTTCAAAAACGTCAGAATTATAGAAAAACTTTCAGTAAAATTAAGACATAGTGACAAGCGTCGAATAAAAAATTAACGTATTTAATTACGGAAATGCAAAAGTATATTGAAGTATAAATGCAGGAAATACATGCGGCAATCTTATAATAAGTTTTTCTTTCAAATAGGTACTTAAAAGCTGCGAAGGAAGTGCAGCAGAGAAACGAAAAGCTCACGGACGAGCAGTGCAATGCTCTTTTGCGAAATGCGCTTGAATTAAATACAGAAATTTGGCTGCCAGAGAAATAAAAACCTAGAAGTCTGGGTTTTTCACTCACAATCTTCAAATTTGCCGTTTACGCTTATAGTGTTATTTTAAGAAATATTTCGTACGTTCAATACACATTATATTATAAATGTGCATCTTTTCATTCCATCGATCTTCATCGTACATTATATTCAGTATATTAAGAGTAATCGTGATTACGTAACGAATAATTAAATTCACATTAATAGTCACATTTAGCATTAAATGTAGCCATCTTATGCTCAACTTTCAAATAAAATTATTTTATTACAATATCATTGTGTTAATTTAATGACAATAACGATTGCAATTTACAATCGATTTTTCAATTTTATTCTATAATTTTTCAATCTTTTTATATTGTTGCAATTATTCACATTTTTATAAACGTGCTATTAGCTGTTACTAATATTGTAACAAATCTTTTTACTTCTCTAATACTGAATTATTTAATTTCAATCACTATATAATATTAAATAATTAAATTATAATTTAATATTTTTGGTAATTCTATTATTATAATAGAACAAAATTATTTTTCTGTACACAAACTTAATAACCTCGAACTCATTTTCTACGCGTAAATTTAATCATTATTATAATTGGTGACCACATTTAACGCCAAATGCGCTCAGAGAACCGCATTACGATCTTTCATCAATAATAATAAATCAAATTTACTCACCAAATTGTAGCATCGAGTCGTATATATAATCACTCCTTCGATTTCTTTTCCTTGATTCGTCCCGTTTGATTTATGACAACTCGAATTTCTGGAAGAAACATCGACGATCTACAATCGCGAATACATTAATTGTTATAACCATTATATGTCGTTAAATGTGAATACGTGATATATACGTGCGCGTATGATTTAAATATGTAACAAACGTAATAAATCGAGTTTGCTCACCGCCGCGGTGTGCATTGTTCCAGCGAGCCGTGCGATTACTCGTGTAGCTCCCGATTTTCGATAACCTTTCGCATCACGACGAGAATTCGTCACGGGGAAAATGCGTGACAGCACATGATCGTACATGTAGACGAGTGCGACGTAACGACGCTCGAAGCTTTCCTCGATTTTCCAGTGCAAATTGAGAGGTGCAACCAATTTTTCGGCGATTAAAATTCGCGAGAAGTAAGAATACATCCGCTTCTAAACTCGTTCCGCGTTAGGCGCGACCAACATAGCCGCCACGCATGCGTGCAATGCATCTCACGTTTCTATCTGTAATTTTGAACACACTTGAATACAACGCATACATTGCGCTCATATATTAATACATACGACCACCGAACAAAACCAAATTTTATATATTTTTATCAGTCAGTTCGTTTTGTATCTTTTTAAATCTCATCTTCGATCTTTCAAGTATATCAAACCGTAAAACTGTAATGTTAACCAAATTTTATACCAGTCAGTTCGTTTTGTATCTTTTTAAATTTTATCTTTTGATTTTTCAAGTATATCAAATCGTAAAACTGTAATGTTAAACTATAAAAGTTATGATATACGAACATACGTGTAAACATAGCTAACATTACTTCTTTACATTTTTTATTTTGTATATTTTGTAAATTTGACTACTTTTAAAGAAATGAGAGGAGGGAAACGATGATAATCTTGGTATCGTATTATTGTTTTTTAACAATAAATAATTATATAATGAAAATCATCTATAAGAGGATGGAGAAATTTACCAAGCCTATCTCGGTTTATTGAATGTTTTTCTTAAAAATTTACATTGTTAATTCACTCCCTTCGCTGCTAATCTCTTATCGCGTTCCTCGGCGATAGACAGCTTCACACCCTTGTCTCTTGGTAAACTCACGTACGCCTTCGTGCCCTTGCCGATGATGAAGACGTTGTTCAACCTGGGCGAACGAATTGCATTATATACAGAGAATAAGTGCAGCATTAAATAGCTGAAAACGAATTTTATTTTCAGTACCTCGTGGCGAAGGTATGTCCTTGAGCGTCTTTTATATGACAAATGTCAAAGGAGCCAGGGTGACGTTCACGACTCACGACGGTACCAACACGACCCAAATTCCTTCCGCCGGTAATCATGCACAAATTACCTGGCAATCAAAGAAAATTATACTCAATATTTTTCCCCTTTTAATATTTATTATTCTTCCCTATTTTGTAGACAAATAATTACCAGAATCAAATCTGATAGAATCCAAAATCTTGCTAGTGGCAATATCCAGATGAATAGTGTCGTTAACTTTTATAACAGGATCAGGATACCGAATTGTTCTACCGTCATGTGTAACTAAAAACGGTATTCCTTTAGGACCAGTCTGGACGCGCTTTACCTTGCACAATTTGTACTGTAAAACACAACATTGCAATATAGATACATATTAGATGAAAAAAATTACAAGATATTTTTGTGCACTTCTTGGGTGATACAGAAGGAATATGGAACTCAATCTGTGACCAAAATGAAGAACTTGCTTTATTATTGGCCATTTTTTGACTATGATACTCTCGATAGTGTAAGCACCACAGCTTCGATAAGGCCTACTTCCATCGAACATTTTAAAATACAAAAATTGTATAGAATATTAAAAGCAATTACCTTGGCTTCCTCAGCAGTAATACGATGGGTAGTAAAACGTCCCTTAACGTCATAGATCAAGCGGAAAAATTCACCAGTCTTCTCGATTGTAATAACATCTGAAACAATTCAATCAGAATGCTATTAATCCACACTTGTTTATACTTAAATCAGTGCCTAAACTACATATTTTTGTGCATTTCTTGGGTAATACAGAAAGAATATGCAACTCAATCTGTGACCAAAATGAAAAACTTGCTTTATTATTGGCCGTTTTTTGACTCCGATACTCTTATTAGATGTTAGCACCACAGCTTCGATAAAAGGCCCAGTTCCATTCAAACATTTTATAATAGAAAAATGAAAGACGTACTACAATAGAATATAAGATAGCAAAATCACTTACCCATAAAACCAGCAGGATAATTGGGATCGGTGCGAATCTTTCCGTCAACCTTAATCAAACGCTGCATAACGATCTTAGTAACCTCGCAATTAGTCAAGGCGTACTTCAACCTGTTACGCAGGAAGATAACCAAAGGGAGTGATTCCCTGAGCTTGTGTGGACCAGTAGATGGCCGGGGAGCGTAGACACCCCCGAGCTTGTCCAACATCCATGCTTTTGGCGCGTTAAGACGCTTGAGATGCTTCTTTGGACCACGAGCCTGAAAGAAAAAAGTTTATAACTATATAAGATTTACATATTTAACATATTTTAACATATTAACATATTTTGAAATTAAATACAAAAATTAAGATTTTAAAAAAGAGAGTAGATTGGATAAACATAAAGTCTTCCAGTATTTTATATATCTTATAACTTAATATTTTGCAATAAAAACTGTAAAATTTATCTAATATGAATGTGCATTGGTTTAATGTGAACAATTGTGTCAAATAAACACAAATTCATTGCCTCTTTTGAATTGACAATGACATGGTTACGACTTATAGATACGTGAGGTTAAATTTTGATAGAAAAAAATTATTTAGATCTCTTTGTATAACCATACAAAATGCAAATATAGAAAACGATTTTACTGAAGCTTTACATTTTTTGTGCTGATGCAAAATCTTTAACACTCATAATTGGTTAAATTGGTAACGAACGGTGCTGTCGTGGAACTTAGGTTAGGTTCAAATTTAGGTTAACACTTCCATTGTATTTTCACTGGAGTAAATCGGAATAATTTCAATTCGAGCAAGAGTATAGTTTTTACATATCGCAGTGGAATGATTACAATGAAACTACAACGCGACAGATGCCATTAGAAAAGACCAAGAGATTGTCGAGAGGAAACAACACGAAGCGGTGCGACACGTCGCGATAGCATCATCGTTTTCCTGGCACCAGAACGCATTTAACGTTTCATAAATGGACAATCAGACACACGAAAATGTGCACGATGGATTTCTCTTGCGTATCAAACGGATTCGTGTTGTATACCCGCGATGTAGACAGATTTCAGGACCACCAGCTAACTTACCATCTTGGACTTCTAAACGGAAAAGGCACGAGGCCTCGCGTCGCGTGCTGACATCAAAAAAACGCTCGCGACGCCCCTTCGTGACTGCACGGACTGTACCGGCTACACCTGCACTCCGATCGTTACGACGACCCGAGACTACGTGATACAAGATGGAGACCGAACGTCCGAAATGTCCGAATGCGAGTCGAGTGAGATCATCAGAAATACGTCTGATTGGTTCGCCGATAAATGTAAAAATATTTTTAAATTAAACAAAAATTTTTTCAGTTTTAAAAATATTTTAATAGCATTTTAAAATTTAATATATTTAAAAAAATATTTTTATAGTTTACGAGATGTGTAGAATTTTAGAGCAAGGTGTTTTGCTTATACGATTTTTATTTTACAGTGCGATTTTTTGACATCCTGATTGGTTGGACTGATTGAACAAAAAGTGAGAGAGCAATTTTTAAATCTTTAGAATAGTCAGTCAGCACGCTTGAAAAATTTATTATACAACATAATAAAATAATAATTTGTTTGTATTATTTGAAATTCCTAAGAATTTTTGCATTTAAATAAAGAGAGAGAGAGAAACAAAAATTTATGAATGCATAAAAAATACATACAGTCACCAAATTAATTGTCCGGACAATGCATTAATATATACTTAAAAAAATGGAGATTAAAACTTAAAAAATAAAGATTTCAAGCTAAGTAAAATGCTTTTTTAAAAATCTCGTTACGATAATTTTTGACAAAGTTGCTCTATCTTGAATTTTTAGAAATTATCGATATATTTTAACGCATTGTCTGGACAATTAGTCAAGCAGCACAAATATGTATGACACTTAATTATATTGCGAATCACCTCTTACGGAATGCTTTCAAACTCAGTCGTTGCATAGTTCATGCCGCAGAATTTAAATTTAGTCGAGAATTGCGCTCGTATATATTAAATCGCACAACGGTCAACGATTTGATGTGTAAAATGCGTCGAGAAATTACGGATAGTGTATAATAAACATAGCATCTATAATATATTAATACATTAACGATACGTTGAATTATACGTAAGTAGAGAACATTTTCAGAATCGAAATCGATTTGCCAAGATGAGAGAGAGTCGCGACGTGTGGCGCTTCGAGAGAAAGGAAAAAGAGAAAAAAAAATCTCGAACGCGAGACGTCCGAGCGCACCGTCGCAGCGTTGGTGGCGTCGATAAGGGAGCGACCGAGTCGAGGACGGACCGGAACGGTCAGTCGGTCGATCTCGCTCGGCATTCTCGACCTCGACGCGGCTGCCAGGTCGGATCTCCTGCGAAACGCGCAATTGCGGCAATATGGCGGAACGCGCACCCGGACCGGCACCGCTCTGCCTCTCGCAGTGACTCGCGCTAGTCGCGCTGGTATATCGAAGTTGCGGAAACGCGTGCGGAACGCACGCGTACGCTCTCACGAGTCGCGCAACGAACCGCCGCTCGCGTACATCATATATACATCATATTATATATACATCTCTTTCTATTTCTCTTTCTCGGAAGTACTCCGATCTCCGCGTATCCCGCACTCCGAATATCTCGCGAAACGCGCACGGCGCTCCTCGGCGTCGACCTCGAGTTATTATCGACCAGCGTGCCGGCGGCGATGTGCCGCCGCGGATGATGGAGCTGACGACGCTGGCGCGCGACCCCCTCGTCGACCAGGTCGCGTCCCCGCGACACGCTCGCTGCTGAGCAAGTGGAGAAAAGTGCATCGCCCGAATATCGCCGCGGACGAATACCAGCGGCGACGCAGACGACGACGCTTCGTGTCCGCCCGCCGTCCGGTCGCCGTTCGAGGTAAGTGCCGACGTCGGCAAACATTAAACGTAGCACGACGGCGCCAAATCGCAAAGGCCTGCGTGACTTTTGCGCAGATTATTATTTGCACAACGGTCGTCCCCGTCCCGGAAGAGCGTTCTTCTCTCGTGCCTTCGTCGCGTTCGCGGCGAAAAAAAAAATATACATGGTTACGTGGATCAGCAGCGCTGATAAAAGCGTATTATTACAACTAAAACGCTCAGAAAATGCAGTTGCACAGCTTTTGTCAATTGGCGTCGTCCATTAATTTAGTTGTTTTCGCTGCATTTTGTACATCAAACGACGTGAATAGATATAATGTGCACCAGGATGTCAGATGCATGTTCGTTTTATCGGATAAGCTTTTACGGTCGATTTTGGGATAATGTTTTTCCTGACGTCGATGAACATTATTGCAGCGTGCAAATGTTTAATGTAATATATATTTATATTTTATCAAATTTATATTTATATAATTTCTTCTCGTTTTATCGATAACATTACTATTTTTAAAGAGCTATATTTGTTAAAATTATATTTTTTATATAATCCATTTTAGTTAATTATGAATAAGAAACAATGCTTTAATGACGACGCCTTAGCTTGAGTAAACAGGTGTACGTAAATAGATCCGTAAATGCGGTGCGTATATTGTTTTTTTTTTAATCTACACATTTTTTATTCATAAGCCACGACGGACAATACTGTTATACATTGACGCAAACGACGATGAACCCGGTGTTATTTCGATAAGACGCCCCGCTGATATCGATCGATCCGTATTATCCTCTTATAATATCAAAGTTGTAGCACGCGATTGTTGTCTCGCCTACGCACTACAGAGGGGTAATACGCGGGAAATTTCGCGTCGCGTGCGCTTTTCCGGAGATATCTCTCCGTCGAGAGCGTCAATCCCGGGACGTGAAATCGATCCGGATCACATCTTCGACCTGGATGCGATTCGTGCGATTTCTGTAGTCCGCGATAGTCCGCGGGCATTCCTTTCACTTCGCCGACATAACTCGGCTCGCGCCGACGATTGACAATCGGCCGCGACGAGACGAGGCGCGGGCAAATTATTGTTATGGATTTCCCTATCCGCGAGATTCGCGCGCGAGAAAATCGCGACGTCTTTCTCAATGTCGATATTTTGGGGAATTTATTAACGCGAAAGTGTCGGAGATTATCGAGACGAGACCGCGTCGGAGTTTTTATTTATCACTCGGTGACATTAATGATAGGAATATTTGCTCTCCGTGATATTGATTGTTGCGATGCTTTTTTATTTTTGTGTCACGCAAATAATATCCACGATGTTGTGTACAATTTTAAGCTGAATAATTTCTCCGCCGTCCGTGAGTTTGAAATTTGAAATCGCTTTACAACCGCTCGAATATAATAATTTACGAGCGACTCGCTCGGCTTGGAAAATAAAGAAAAAGGGAGCGAGAGGCGACTGAAGTTCTAAACGCAAATTCACCGCAAATACACTTTACGTAACACAGAGAAATTTAATAATTTTATTCTCAATGAGAACCGAGGGAAGAAAAGATGATGCGCGACACGTTATTTTTCGCGCTTCTCCGCAACGGACAATCGTTTGACATTGATTGGAGAAAAATAATGCAACGTTTGAAAGGGCTCGCGAGCGTAAATGTTGATAAATGCCGAGTATAATCTCGCGGTCGTTCCTCATTATCTTGCATCGCGAGGCGTCATGTACAATCGATACATGCAGCATGTAGTACGAAAAGCTCGCTATTCAAGTGACGGCATGAGCATATGCATGTGCATATGCACGGATATATGCATGCGCTCGCTAGTTACGTGCATATGCGCAACGTTGCATGCCGGGGTCATTGCCCGCACGTGTTCTATTCCCATCACTAATACATTCGCTGACAAGGAGCGGTAAAGCGCGCTTCAGGGTGAAACGAAGTTTTTTTTATTTATTTTTATTTTTATTTTTTTTCGTGAATGCGTAACATGTCAGCACGAAATAAGGGGAAAAATCGCGGAAAATTGCGCGATTAAACGCAATTTTTTATTTTAATGTGTATATTTTATTCGTTATCATTCGTCCAACTAATATCGTGTTTAAAATCGCGAGGGAAACGGTTAAATTATTGATATTTTAATAAGAAATTAAAAAAAAATTTACCACGTATCGCAAGGTGTGAAACTGTTTGCGATAAACACCTGTTTACTTTGCGCACACTGAAATACATACGGCCACGTTATATGCCCATTCTTTTTCTCGATGATCAAAGAGAAATTGTGCAAACACTTTCTGTATATATATTTACTGATTAGCCGTAATTTATTCAAGATAGCAATTTCTGTATGTTTTGTTAAACAATTCCCGATGATTATTCTTTTTTATTATTTACGAACAAAAAACCGTGCTCGTATTTTCTTAGTTTGACGAGAAAATTATCCAAGTACGCGCGACACTTTGATAAATTGTGTTTTGAGACACATCTGAATTATAATAATTAATTATATACATAATAATTAATAAATCGCATCTTTGTAGGCTGATTATATTCTGAAATCTATATAAGCTTTCTCAATATTCTCGCGATATTTTCCTTTAGAAACAGGGAGGTAAAAAGAGAATGTGAAAGGCGATAAAACCCCGGGAAATATTACGCAACGCAAAAGCATTGCTGCGTAGAATCCCAGAATGGCGAGGGGAGTGAAGTCACTCCATTCATGGGATTCGTTGGCTTTAATGGGGTCTCGAGGACGAATAGGGAGGGCCGGGAATCCCTTCCTGCGGGGAAAGGATTTGAAGTTGAAGGTCACGCATCCCCTCGCGAAAAGTTACGCACTTCGAACGCAAATAGATGCCGGACGTTGCATAGAGGATTGCGCTTAAAATTTACATGTTAATTCCGAAACGGCACGCAACTGTCTGCAGCGGCGCAAGGCAATACGTTATGTAACTTTAGCGAGTTTTACTTCGAAAAGAAACTTTGAGCTCTTTAATATCATTCAATGAGTTATAACAAAACATTTAAAATGTTAGAGAACTCTGCAAGAAATCTTCATAAATCAATTTAAAATCTGAATTGAAGAAATTTATATCGATCGAGAGAATAAGACTTTTGAGACGTTTATGCATTTGTATTTTAATCTTTAACCCGTAAGGAAATTGTAAAATGATTAAATGAATAAATAAGTGTATTCATTAATTAATTATAGTTAAATTGTACGTTTCTCGAGCGAGTAAGAGTATATTATTCAAGCATTCAATAATTTGTAAGAGGAAAATTCGTTGATATATGATTCAATTTTTACTCTATTAAATTAAATTACTTCATGTAGAATCGAAGAGCGGATAAAAAATAGACAAACGTCGAAAATAAAAAAACGTCGATAAATATCTTAATGTTAGAAGAAGTATTTTGAGAAAGTTACTGTTTTGAGATTTTCGTGTAAGCAATATACTTATACTTTATACATTTGAAAAAAAAAATACTTATAACAGAAATATACAGAAAGATATTTTTTCCTCGGAAAATATGATATTTATCGCTTTTCGCGTCTCGCAAATATCATAATTTTTTTCGTATTTTAAACGCGTAAATATGAGGCATTATCGGAAGTATTTCAAAGCGCGCGTAAGGCGGGCAAATAATCAATGGCAAATAAAAATGAAAGGCGATAAATATAAATGATGATCCATTCTACAGAATATAAAATACGAAACACTATACAAATTTTAGTTGTGTTAACGTGAATTGCGTAATCTCGAGATAGCGATCGTCCTGATGACGCTTGTACCTGCGCGCGGTGTGCATTCTGATTTTGATAGCATCGGTTAAGACGCAAGTCGTTTTGTGACCGTTCGTGTTCGAGGTATCCTATTGCAGAAATGACGCGCAGTAAGCATCGTCCTTCCTCTACCCACCATCTCCCCGCATACCCTTTTCGCCCTCCACGCAACGAGGGGGGGGGGGGGAAGATGCTTACATTATGCATTTCCATCGGACGAACTCGTGTCGCTGTTTACCCACATACGCGCGCCATATAATCGTCAACAAACCCTCGGGCAACCCTCCGCGACCAGCGGCCATCCTTTGCCTCTTTCTCTCTCTCTCTCCCCTTTCTCTCCCTTCCACCCCCGTCCTCACGGTCCCTCCTTGGCTCGCTTGTTAGAGACTCTATCCCTCTCCCGTTCTACCCCTTCATCTGTCCTTCTCCACCTCGCGATTCACGTGACCGGGACAGTCTATTGATTCCTCGAGGGTAGTGCATGCGCCCTCGTGCACGCGATCTCTGCTGTCAAGGGGTTTGTACACGATGGAGGGGACGAGTTTGGAGGAAGTCCCGATGGTGGGGATGCCGACGAGGGTGAAAACGGGACGGTCGGGGAATGCGGGGTGTCGAGAAAGAGACGGGGAGAGAGAAAGGAGAAGATAGCGATAGAAACTGAACGTAGTCGGTATAGTGGTTTTTATGTATTTTTATGGTGATGGGGTATACTTTTATGATAGGGTGAAATAAGTGATCGCCGAAGCAGAGTCCAAAAAATTGTAGCCGTTATAAATAAAACGTAACGAAAGTTCGACATGCATTGTAAACAACTTTACCGAAGGTAAAGTATCGTAAATATTTAATTTGGAGAGTGTTACGCTACTTTTTAGATTTTTTTTATTACTTATGTACTGGTTATCTGAATAATTAAGATCTCAATTATGAAATTATGGAATTAATTTACTATTATGGATTATATTATGATTATGGAATTAATTTGCTATTTTTTAAATCTGAAATATTTTTCTTAAGTATAACATACAAAATCGCCGCGCACAATTGAATATTAGTAAGTATCTTAAAATAGGTGCTTTTTTTGCATAAGGTAATTACGAATACCTTAAAAATTATTACTGGCTATTATTTTAAGTGTGAAAATTATCAATTTTGTTGACGACTTTTATTCTTTGAATTTTTTTTTTAAGAAATAAACAGAACATAAATATCAAAAGCTTTCA